TGAGTACCTGTGTGACTGCACTGGCCACATGGCCATGAAATTGGCCCTGCTGATGCCTAGGTCCTGCCTCTCTATGACATAATTGTGTTAGCTTATTGTACATCAGAGTTTTTATTCTCTCAGCGATTCTTCAGTAGTGGTTGAGAACCACTACCCTAGACAATATCATGCATATGTGTATCACTTAGGTATCATGGGTGTGGGTTTCAGTATATGATGATTACTTCTGAAGTGGGGGGGAGAAAAAGATGTAAAATGAAGGGGCACTTAACAAATAAACAAATAAAGGCAATGTTCTGTATCTTAAACTGAATGGTAGATACCAGTATTCTTCATAGTTTTTTTTTATATTAAATATTTTCTTTGGTAAATCATGTAAAATATATTTTTAAATGTCAACGGAAAGTATCTAATTGAGGAAGAATGGTTGGCTATTCAAGAAGCAGTGAAAAAAATTTCCCCTTTACATAGCCCAGAAAACACATGCAGGGTCAGAATATGAGCCCAAGGCTATACTAGGTCATCACTTTGCTGTAAGGGACCAGAGATTCAGGATCATTGTAAGAGACATGCAGGTCAGTGAGTTGTCACATATATCAGTACAGACATCTGATGTAGGCTACAAAAGTGACATTACTGGTACTCAAAGAAGAAGATATTTTAGGCAAGGCATATGACTAAGTAAAAATTTTTTTTCATTGTTACTACTGCTTCAAAAGACGCTCAGTGTCATTTATATTTAAAATGAAAATTAAAACAATACTTTTTCTTACTAAGAATATAATTGAAACAAACGTTTTTCTAGTTTCTACCAAATTTAAAAATGCAAAAATCCTGTGGTCTAGTAATCTCACTGTTCAAAACCTATTCTATTGAAATGCCAGCTAAAATTGTCTATATTGATAAACAATCATATTCTATTCATAGAGTAATTAAATAAATATGGTATGTATGTATATACATATATACACACAAATACTATAGAATACTATGCAAACTTTACAAAGAATTAAGCCATCACATATGTATATACTTGCAAATGTGTCTATCACATATTTTTAAGTTAAGAAGCAAGCTCTAATGCAGAATGTATAGTATTATTACATTAAAAAATATGTGTGTATGTGTGTGTCAGGATGAGGAAGGCTCCTATTTGGATGTATACAAGGTATTCAAGCTTTATATGTATTTAAAAGGTTCAAAGTAAAAAAAAGGGGGGGGTTGAAAGAATGTACATCAAGCTTCTGAACGTTGACTTTCTAGAGAATGGAACAGGGGGGAGATTTATTTTTATTTCTGTACTCCTTTAAATTAAGTCTCAGCTTATATCTATCATACATGTATTGCTATGCCTTCCATTCCCTATAGGATTTAATAAGTAGGTAGACTCTTTTCATTTTTAAAAAATAATTCCTCAAAAAAAGGAACTGAATCTTTATGGGCAGAGTGGGGATATTCCCAAATTTCTTTTAGAGTTGGCAAGAAAAAAGACAATTTAAGCAATGTGACAAGAGCACATTCCTGTCAGTGACCGAATCCCTCAGTGTAGCCGAGCTACACAATAGTCATCCTTTAACTTTTCTATCTCTGTGGTCCTCTCTGTACTAACCAATGTGCCTCTGTTCCATTTCTTTCATCTTTCTATCAGCTCTACCTGCCACAGACTTGCTCTGTGCTCAAGACCCTGGGAAAAAGTCAGTCTGTGCGGATCCAGCGGTTAGTGGTTAAGGTGAAGTTGGTGGCTGAATACATACACTTTGTTCAGGATGCTCCTTTGCCTAAGTCTGGTCCTGCAGGGGAGGTGGGCTCTCTGGCACATTTTCCAAGCTTAAATCTGCGACCAGAACTAAGAGGTTCTGCCTGTGAGGGCTTTGTGGCACACTGAAGGGACACAAGCTTTCTGTCTACCTTTTCACAGACAGGAGGTCACAGGAGGCTGCCAGTTAGGATCCCTAGTCTACTGCACTCTGGGTATAGAACCCTGAGCAAGACATTTAATCTCATAGCTTCCTTTATCTTGTGTGTGAAACAAAGAAAATAAGAGCTTCTAGCTCACAAAATTATTAGGATTAAGTAAAAAAAAATGTGACCAGAATTAAGCACTCGATAAACTTTATAATTATAACATTAAAAGATGGACTTGGTCACATTCATGTAGATTACTTCCAGCTGAATTCAGGCTCCAAGCAAGTATTCTTCAAACTTCAGAGAGAAACACATTAGTGAGTTATAAAATCCATTTAGTGGGTAGTAGTCAACATTGAAAATAATTAATGGAATAGAAAAACAATAATCAAAAACACACACACAGAAGACATTGCATATAAAAAGCTAATGGAAAATTCATTGCTTACTGTGGTCTCAGGTTAAGTGAGTTTGAAAAACAATGCTTTAAGCCAAACAAATGTGCAAAACAGAAACTCTTCCCCAATTGTCTTCTCAACTCTACTCATTTCTGCCTCTTTCAAGTAAAGTGAGCAAAAGCTTGAGGGCTTTGGAAACATGCTGTAGTGATAGATCTTTTTGATAATGCAGGAGCATGCTGGGGTGATGTGAGAAATCAGGAGGTGATGGTGAGAGAGCCAGTTCATTCAAACATGTGCTGTTGCTACTTCCCAAGCATATGGGGCAGGGATAAAGACGTTTAGAACTAGCCAGGCCTCAGGATTTGGTTCTTGTTTTTGTTTGAAACTTTTCCTCTTAATTCAAGTATGGAGACTGTGACGGAAGGCCTGCAAGGTTCTTTTAAGTCTATAAACCTGTCACTTAAAATTCCTGCTTTTAGTAGGTAATGTTTGAGGAGCAAAGCTCATAAAGTTTAGTGAGTGAAGAAAGTGAAGTAGTTTTAGATTTTTTTCATTGTTACTACTACTTCAATGTTGATGGATTTTTAAATTCTATTTCTACTGTTTCTCTAAAAATAATTTTTGCTCTGTACAGGTTATAGTAGCTAAACACATGGAAGTAAAATATGACAATAATTAAAAATACATGGAAGGAAACCAGGCTTAGAACTAGAATTAGGTTGCTGGACTGACATTTTGAGGGAACTTATACCCAGGAATAGAGTTATCTCTAACCTGTAGAACCTACCTTTTTTTCCTGACTATCATTTAATATGGAGAAACCAAGTGAAAATAACCATGATAATGTAACTATATATTATCAGTCTCAATTATTTTACTTGCTATTTCCTTCTGTAATGTTATGAGCCATTCATTATAAATACATTTACTTCCAACAGAATTAGCCACCTAATATTAATCAAAGAGCATGAATAGTTAGAAACTAAGATTCAACATATACCATGCTGCATTTTCCTCTTTGTATCATGTTTCAATTGAAATATGTCTCTAGTAATAATTATAAAAATTGTAGAAATTCCACAGAGGACTCTGTTGGAATCAAAACCATACACTGAATTGTATGTCTATTACCTAATACACAACAAATCATAATTGTAATCACATTAGTATCTGTAAAGAAATATAGAAAAATTTAAAATGTGTGTGTGTACCTGTATATAGTTAACCATGTCAATGTATAGGTACAGATATAGATACATATGTGGTTGTATCTCTCAAATATTTTTCATAAATATAAAAGTTTGGTTTGCCATGAAACATCTGTTACTTCCTCCCATGAATGCTGTTTGCAGGTTTGGTGGTTTCAACTAGAGGCCTAGGGGTTTTAGGGGTGTTTTGAAACTTGGATGGTTGCATGGACTAACCCTGAATATGGACAGTGGAGAGGCCTTGAATTAGTATATGATCATTTCCTGCGGTTCTTTCTATAAGACTCATAGACAAATCCCTCTCAACCATTTGCTTACTTTAAGATGCTGGGAAAATTATTTAAATTCCTAAATATCAGTTTTCTTCTTTCCAAAATTGAATAAATAATAACTTTAGAAAGTATGTTTTCCATCTCATCATTACAGCCAGGTCAACAGACATATTAAAACCAAGGGGAGCCTGGCTGGTATGGCTCAGTGGTTGAGCATCGACCTATGAACTAGGAGGTCACGGTGTGATTCCTGTTCAGGACACATGCCTGGGTTGCAGCTCAGTCTCCAGTGTGGGGCCTGCAGGAGGCAGCTGATCAATAATTTTCTCTCACCATTGATGATTCTCTCTCTCTCTCTCTCTCTCTCTCTCTCTCCCTCTCCCTTCCTCTCTGAAATCAATAAAAATATATAAATAAATAAAATAAAAACAAGGGGAGACAAAACAAATCCAAGAGTCAGTGTGTTTTACATAGTTTGGCAACCAGAAAGTAGATTAAAAAATTAATGGTCCCCTAATGAATCCAACCTTGATATATACATCCTTGTAAAGCCTCCTCTCATAGTGACGCTGAACTTGGCCATGTGACTTGCTTGTCCAATGAGACATGAGCAAATGTGAAAGAAGTAAAGGCTTGATAAGTTCTTGCCCATTAGGGCTTAGCTGCTGGGAATGCTATCTTCACTGTCAGAATCCCAGGATCTACTGCTGAAGAGGTCCCAGGGAGAAGAGCCATGCCAAAGATGCTTGCTAAACACCATCTTGCATTGCCCAGCCTCAGTTGAGCCACCGGATGACCATAGTTATATGAGTGACCCCAGATCATCAGAAGAACCATCCAACTGAGCCAAGCCCAGTGCAGAATTGTGAGTAAATATATGGTTATTTCTAGTCCCTACATTTTGGGGTGGTTTGTTACTCACAATAAATACCTAATACATTCAGCTATCTGGTAGGATAAATATTTTATGCAGTTAATATTGAAATCAATAAATAATATCTAGGAATGACCAATCATGTAAGTTAAAAACATATAACACATGTAGGCAAATGAGGAAAATACCAAATGCACAAAACAGAATCAGAAAATAGATTTTAAAAAATGGAATAGCAGACTAAGTTGTCTTTGTGAACAGATTTTCTGTGCTGGATTATTACTTTGTGCTGTTCAAGAAATATCTATTATATATAATTCACTGAATATGTATAACTTACTGAAACATGATCTTCTGTGAAGCATATGCTGGAAAATCTTGCACAGAGATTCTTCACTTTGTGACATGGTTCTACAGGTGCACTGCACTTGAAGCACCGTCCCAAGGGTGCCCATGTAAGCTGCTTTGCAGTCATCGCTTCCTGAGCAAGTGAGGTCCTGCTTGCCCAAAGTACTGATGCAAGTCTCATCTTCATGGCACTTTCTAGTCACAGGCTGCCAGCATTTTGACTGAAATGTCCTGTAGCGCCTCCTATAAAGAGTCAAGAAATGGACTTCATCTCTGAATAATATTCTTTCACATTAGCATGCGGTGCTTCCTCAGCTAATGAAAGACTGACATAAAACACAATGCCTCCTGGATGCCAGTACATAGCTGAAAACTAAGTTTGTACATTTAAACATCCCCATAGAGAGTGTGGAAGAAAAAGTGGAGAAACCTTGTGAATTTCCTCGCGTGATGAAAGACAGAGGCTGAGTTTACGATTCCCTGGATGAATTTTCCTTCATTACTAATTTTCTTTCAATGGCTGATGATTTGCAGTCTGAACTACATGGGAGATTTATTAGCAGTGTTTTTTGAAGCAGAATGTGGTTTTGGTTGACTAGCAGTTGGCCACTGTTTCACACCAAGTGATTTTAGATAAGGCTCTTCACCTTTCCAGCCTGTTTTCCCACAGGATGGGAGGTAATATATTCTTTCTTAACATTTCTAAGCAGACCAATTAGAATTTTTAAAATGCTTTGAGCTTCTCTGGCTGCAAAAGCTAATTTAAAGCAAAAAATTTATGAGTTTATTTAATTGCCAACATAATCCATTAGAACCACATCCATTCATAACTTTCCTGACCATGTATTCGTGCTGTACTAGCAGTGAATAAAAATCTCACTAATGTACAATAATTTCATATTTGAAATTTTCACAGTAACAGGATATTCCTCTCAGTGGAACCAAGGATATTAATCTTCCTACTTAATATTTATCACCTAAAATTACTTTTTACCCTTTATTGAATAGGTCACCATTAAATCCGCATGAAAACCCTCTGAATACATACTTGTCATGAGCTTATTTGTCCACATGGTCCTACTCCGCTAAAACCAGAAGCCACATTATTTTCAATAATCTCATATTTTAAGTCATCTTAAAAGAATCAGCTTTTCAATACATTGGCAAAATTAATTTATACACAAAGAAATACAATAGAAAGTTTGAGTATATAATTTTGATGCCAGAAGAACAAATATATTCCTTTAATGCAATTATGGGTTATTTATAAGATGTTATCTAAATGTAAGTATTGCCCTGGCTGGTTTGGCTCAGTGGATAGAGTGTCGGCCTGTGGACTGAAGGGTCCCAGGTTTGATTCCAGTCAAGGGCACATCCCCGGGTTGCGGGCTTGATCCCCAGTAGGGTGCGTGCAGGAGGCAGCCAATCAATGGTTCTCTTTCATCATTGATGTTTCTATCTCTCTCTCACTCTCCTTTCCTCTCTGAAATCAATAAAAATATATTTTTAAAAATTTGTTTAAAAAGTTGTTATTTTTTCTAAGCAAATTCCTTTTTCCCTACTATTTTATTGAGTTCATAAATACAAATCTGTAATGCATTATAATTTTCTGTATGTTCCCAAATGTATATAATTGGTAAAACATAATCTCAACTCCCAGTATATATTTGTGTTGGACAAAATTACTTGAAAAATAGTCTTTATATTGACTCCTTTGGCTCATTTAAATAAATAAATGAGTTTCAAATCTTTTATGTATTGAAAAATCTGGAACAAGGACAGAAGTACTATTTTCAAACCCCAGTGCTCTCCTTAGCCCCATATACAGCCTCTTCAGCCAATGAAGGAAGTGATAAAGGGCTTAATATCTTCACTGAAGAAATAGTTTATCTCTTGGAGATTTTTTCCATCTGAATTACATTAACACAAATTTAATATAAATGCTGGAAATCTCTCTAAGGCAAAATTTGCTTCAGAAAATGACAAGATTTGTCTTTTCACCTTGACTACTAATATTGTGTAATATTTCCATCACTTCTGTAAAGTATTCATTAAGGGATTATTCCACATGGTGAAAAGACATTGATAACACACAGCCTTACTCTAAACTAATCTATGAAAGATAGAAATTACATAAAAGGAGACATGTATATCAATAAATTATAAAAATAAAGTGCAAGATATTAAAAAATAGAGGAAAACATATGACAACTTCTGTGTCTTTTGTGTCCTGGACCCTGAACCAAGTACTTTGGAGAGGTGGTGAACCCCAGGATTATTTGTGGAGGAAATTTAACAAAAAATGTGCCAGTCAATCTGATGCCAAGGTGAGTTTATTTCAAAAGTGTGTGCTTCAGAATCCATCACAGGACTTCTCAAGGACTATAACAGCAGACCCCATCACTTGCCATTAAAATATTTAATTTGATAGGGAAGCTTAGATATATCATTCTTTGAAGGTTGAATGCAAGTATTTTAGGATAATGAGGTAGCATATCTAGAGCCCTTGCAGTGGTATGAGGTAAAACTGGGTGCCCATCCATGCAGACATCTGGTACTCTTATAGGGATTGATTAAAACATGATAATAACATATCCCCTGGCTGCTTAAAATGTTATTAGGTTTCATTTTTAGTGTACATGGATGATAGATAATTGATAGATAGATGGTAATATTCTATTTGTAAAATATGAGAACAATAGTATAATCAAACATTTTAATCATATTTCATTGAATGGAGGAGATATCATTGCTTTATTATAACTGAAATCACTTGTTGGCAATTAAATTATTGTTTTAACTTAATAAATATTTTCTGGTCATTGAGCTTAAGGCTCATCCCAAAATGTTAAGGATATGAAAATGTATAAAAAATTTACATCATCCTAGCTGGTTTGGCTCAGTGGATAGAGCATCGGCCTATGTACTGAAGGGTCCCAGGTTCGATTCCAGGCAAGGGCACATGCCTGGGTTGCAGGCTTGATCCCCAGTGGAGGGCATGCAGGAGGTAGCCAATCAAAGATTCTCTCTCATCATTGATGTTTCTATCTCTCGCTCACTCTCCCTTCCTCTCTGAAATAAAGAAATAAATTTTTAAAAAATTTACATCTTAGAATCAATAAAATACAATATGTTACTAAAAAAGAATTTGGGAGATATAAATGAATTTGAAAAATCTAAATTGCATTATAAAATATTTTTATCATTAATATTATTTTTAACCCAAGAGAAGTTATTAATATACCTTAAAATAACTGATAAAACAATTACATGACAAAATCCTTAAATAAAATTTTCTGAAGAACTTTGGCATTCTATACAAGTTGAAGCAAAAAATATGTGAATGTCCTAGCATTCTGTTTAGATCTTTACCCTTTATCTTACTGAATGTGTATTATAGGGAAGCAGTTGTCTTTTTTGACAAATGTTTACAAGATCTGGAGTTATTTTTTCAAGTTAGAATGACTGAGAGAAAAGGAATTAAGATAGTTGACAGTTATCGTTTGACAAGGCCAAAAGAAAACAGTTTACCAAGAACCAAGCCCTTGAGAAAGTTATCATTAAATCTTTTAGTTCATTTGCCAGTGGTTGAAGCAAGGTGACAAATGGGATAGATCTTGCTCTGAGCTAATCCTCCATACTAAATATTTATCTTGACATTTAAATGAGTTTGCTATATATGAAGTTTTATCCATTTGAATAAAATTAATTATAATAGCCCCTGATAAATGCCCTAGGCAAACAAATTAATATAAAGTCTTACTCAAAAGAGAAGCAAAAGTAGAATTCAAAAATTATATAGTTTAGTGCTGGTTGTTGCAAACTATTTGTTTTGACCCATCAAATTTATTTAGTATTTTCATATTTCCCTCCATCTTCTTACTCTTGTCTAAAGAGGCCAATTTGACTTTTGAATTTTTAACCACACAAAAGATAAAATTCATCTTGAATATACAAGGAAATGTGTTAATGACCATAGTAAGGAAAATAAATAGTCACGGTGTTGGATTAGAGTTGTGGTTCCCAGGAGCAGTTATCTGTAAAAGTATAATCTAGTCTCAACTAATAGCAAGAGTTGAAGTTTTAACAAGTGAGCCAGATAATTCATACCTCCACTCAAAATCCTCCAGTACTTCTCCATTTGACTTGGTGTAAAAACCCAAGTTGATGGTGTCCCTCAAGGCCCTGTGTGATCTAACCCCACTTCCTCTGCAGTTAAAGCTCTAACCACTTCTCCATTGCTCTCCCCCTGCACTCTCTGCCCTCATTACCTTTGTAACAGGCCACACACATTTCTTTCTCAGCACTGGCTGGTCTGTTTAGTATCTCTTCTTTCGGTTATTTACTGAGAGAGGCTCATTACCTCCCTCACTTTTTCTCTGGTAAATGCTCTCTCCTGGGACCACCCCATTTACATTGCTACTCTTTCCATCCATACAGAACCCCTCTTATTTTGTTGCGCTGCTGTTGTTAATATCCAGAGCACTCATTATCTTATAATATAATATACATTTTTCTTATGCATTATCTGTCTCCCCCACTAGAATATAAACTACACAAGGCAGGCATTTTTGTCTCTTGTACACTGATGCCAAGGTGCTTGACATGACTTGTTTGAATAGACAAATAAATGACTAACATTATCCCCTTTAGACTCAAAGGTATAAAGTTGGGAAGAGAATATGTGTTTCTGACATCGTGGCATGGATGTGTGCTGGGGATATAGCTACTTCTCCTCTCTGATCTTCAGACTAAGACAGAAAGGATTTATTTTGAAGTTTGATGAGTCAGCTTGTCAAAATTGTATGACATTTTACAGCCCTCTATGATTATGCCAAAAAGAAAATTAAAAACTGACATACAAGATAGGTTCATTATCCATTAGTCTAATTTGAATATATAATTTCAATAATGCTATTTCATGGCGGTCAAAACCTGACTTAAATTGATTTTTTTTTATTCCAAACATGTTCCACATTTGAATTTCAAAGAGGATACTACACATGTACTACAGATTCAAAAATATGAATTGTCTGGCTTTGTTTACATCATGTTGGGTAATGGTGGGAACTCTAGCTAATGTAATGAGATCAAGTGTTAGGACTGGACTGTAACAAATAAGGTGCCGAAATAAGAAAGTAAGGTATGCGTGTTTTTACTCACCTGCATAATTCATCATTTCGGCAGCTGCGAATTACATTGAGGCAAGTAGGGGGTGGAACTATGTTCACTGCACATGGCTTGCTGTGAAGAGCTTCTTTGGACTGCTGACAAGGTATATCAGATGGAGCACAGTCACAGAAAGCCAACATCTGGGCAATATTAAAAGGCATATTTTGATAGAAGAACCGTATGGCTGCTTGGCAGTGTTTCACATCACACAGATTTCCATTTGCTGAGCAAGCTTTAAGGTACAGGGCCAACTGTGCATTACAGACCGCATCCCCTACACACATCTCTGCCACTTCCAAACAGGACCAGATCCCTTTCGTTCCTGAAAGCAATGACATACCCAAGTCAGGTCGCGAAAATGTAAACATAAAGCTGTCTTTACAGAATCTGCAAAACACGTCTAGGAGCAAAATACAACTTTGTACCAATGTTCTACTTTGAGCAAACATTTCATTTCTTTATAGAGGTAGTAAACATAAAGCTGTCTTTACAGAATCTGCAAAACACTGTGAGACGTCTAGGAGCAAAATACAGCTTTGTACCAATGTTCTACTTTGAGCAAACATTGCATTTCTTTATAGAGGTCATCTGAATTTACTGAGACCTGAGTAGTGGACTATTTGAATCATCTTTCATCTCTACTGGATACGTATTGTGATCCAGAAGAGAGGTGGAGTGTGTAGGGCCAAGACTGAGCTGAAGGAAAAACCCTTGAGTCCAAGTTTCTCGAATGTAAACAATAAATCAGAAATTTCATTTGAGCTGTATAGCTTATGATGAGTTCATTGGCTCAAGTGCAAATGATTCTTATTCTGTCACACTTTTTATTCTGGAGGGAAATCTTGACTAAGGCTCCACATAGTTAACCCAACAGATAAAGATGCTCACATTCTAGAAAACACAGGAACATGAACTTTCGCCCCAAACACAAACGAACATACACATAAATGGTTGGCCTAAAACAATTTAATGTAGGTGATAAAAATATCCATAAAATTTAACCAAGATCTAGTCTTTGGTTTTAATTGTAAAATATTCCTCAGCATAACCGGAAATAGGTGATAAATAGGCAAATCAGTTGCTTTGATACATTAGTGTAAGAAATGCAATGATTTTGAGAATTTTCTAATATTTAAACTATCAAAGAGCAGCACAATTTATTTTGTATTGAAATATCTTTAAGGAGCCTTGTAACTACTTTTTAAATTATATTGTCCTGATTTTAGAATGCTAATCAAAATTACAAATTATAAACATTATCATGATAGAAAAGAGTGGTTAGATTCTACTCGAATTTATTACCCTCTTTCATGTTATCTAGAAGGAAAACAAAGACTTTCATTAGTGAACAATTTTCTAAATTTAATAGGAAAATGTGGGCTATATTTATGAGTAATTAAATAAAAATACATACAAGCTCATGTAACACTTGCTTAACCCTTAATACTCAAAATTAGCGAAGAACAGATGAAGAAAAATAAACCCCAGAAATATAATTCAAGTGAGTTAAACAGCTCTGCTGTGAGGATTCAGTTACTTGAAGGTTTAAACAAATGCTAACGACTAGGCCATGTGCACTGAAGTAAACAAAGAATCTGTCTGGGGAGAAAAAACAGAGGGAATATTGTCTGAACCAAAAAAAAAAAAAAAAAAAAAAAAAAAAAAAACTTCTTCCCAGTAGGGTCTTAATTAGATTGAAATGCAATTTGAACACTATTTCCACCTCTCATTATTTTAGTTTCATAGAGTTCTTAGGAATTAAAATTATAGAATCGGAGGATCTTATTGATGGAAGTAAACTGAGTAGCCTTTAATTCTAAAATCTTCAAGAAGCATTGGTTGGGTTCCTACTATGTATCAGGTGCCACATCAAAGACACACTTCTGCAGTCCCTGTCCCAGAGCCTCCCCAGCCTGGCAGGAAACACAGACATATAAACAGAAAAGATATACACACAATGACAAAAAACAAAGTGACAGGGAAATAGTATGATTTGATTTTTATATAAAATAAAAATTCAATTTTCCCATTGGTTGCTGATATATTGACTTCTGTTATGGCATAAATGTCATTTCATGATGCTGTTTTTGTCCCTACTTGAGCTGTCTGTCCAAATTTTCTGCCTGCCCATCTATTGCACATACATGATGGTATAGTCACGAGAAAATTATTTTTACCCCCATGTGTCACAGCCTTTCTAGATTCTTTGTTTTACTCTCTGTTCTCACTACCCAGTTTTTCATTTTTCCACTGATTAAGTTGAAGCTTGAGGACTACTGAGCTGAGACTTAATCTCTTCTAGACTCCACTCTCCTGTGTCTCCGAGGAAGCCTGGAATGTTTCTTCTTCTCTGCTAGCATCCCATAGTGCCATGGTTGGCAAACTGTGGCTCGCGAGCCACATGCAGCTCTTTGGCCCCTTGACTGTGGCTCTTCCTAAGCCTTAGGAGTACCCTAATTAAGTTAATAACAATGTACCTACCTATATAGTTTAAGTTTAAAAAATTTGGCTTTCAAAAGAAATTTCAATCGTTGTACTGTTTGTATTTGGCTCTGTTGACTAATGAGTTTGCCGACCACTGCTGAGTGAATAAATCCCAATAAGCAAACCTCAGAGAGTCATAGAGCTTTTGTAAAGACACAAAAGCCTAGGCAAATCCTTCTATTATAGATTAATACCTCTGCTTTGGAATTGATTGCCACTGACTAAAACATACTCAGAAAACTATCATTGAAACATAAGTAAATATTGAATTTACTGACTGTTATGGACTGAATGTCTGTGGCCCTCCAAATGTCATGTGTTGAAGTCCTAACACCTAGTGTGTCTGCCTTTGGAGATGATATCGCTAAGGAAGTTATTAAGGTTAAATGAGGTCACAAGCATGGCAAGCTAATCTGAAGATTAGTGTTCTGTTAAGAAGGAATATTAGAGACCTTATTCCCTTTTCCCCATCCATGCACACACAACATGCGATTTCATGTTAGGACATAACAAGAAACCAGGAAGTTTATAAGTTGGCAAGAAAGCTCTCACCAGAAACCAACCCTGATGAACCTTGATCAGAAACTTTCAGCCTTCAGAACTTTGAGAAAACAAATTTTTGTTGTTTAAGCCACCAGCCAATGGTATTTTGTTATGACAATCCTAGCAGAGTAACATATTTACTATATGTATAATTATTACAAATACAGCAGAAAAGTTATTTTAGCATGGGGAAATAAATCTATCTTGGATGTATACAATTTTATATGCTATGAGGAATATATTATGTAAATTATCTGTACATTAAATTCTAATTTCATATGATACATACACATTTTTCCCCAGAGGACATTTTAAACTCTAGCTTAATTACTGCAGAGGAGTTGAAGGTCAATATGAAATAGGAAAAATGTGGGCTACATAGAAATAGAATCATGAAACAGCTAGGTTAAATCAGTTAAAAGATCATATACATAAAAAATACACACGGTTTTTTCTTATTGATCCACTAACAGTAAAATATATCCAGAATCAGATATCTTCTCACTCTGGTTTAAGACACCAAGCATTTTTTCGATTGACCTCATCTACTCCTATGACCTTATTATCTGTAAGTAAATGACCCTCCAATTCATATGTACTGAATAGATCTCACTTCTTATGTCATGCATAGAATTTAGATATCAATTCCATATATAAAACTGCCTATTCATATCTTCACTTGAATACCTAATAAACATTTCACACTTAACACATCCAAAACTCACTTCTTACCTTTCCTCTGCTCCCCACCGAAGACTCTTTTTCCTGTAGTTAAAAAAATAATCGTGACCACGTCCTTCTAATTACTCAACACAAAAACTTTGGGGACAACTTTAATCCTTTTTTCCCCCTTGCATTCCCAAATGACCCACTACTATCAAAACATATTCAGAATCTGACAAGTTCCTACATGAATCCATCATCTTTTTTTTTTCCTGCATCATTATAAAAGCTCTTACATGGTCTTCCCACTTGGGCCTTTCCTTCTCTTCAGTGAGTTGTCAACATAAAAAATAAAACATAAATAAAATAAAATAAAGAGGATTATTCTGCTAAGGATATAAATCAGACCCTGTCACTCCCCTGATCAAAATCCTTCAGTGGTTTCCTATATCACTTAGAGTAGAGCCAACCATTTTGAAATGACCTAAAATGCCCTTCATGATCTTGTCCCCTGTTTTTATATCAGATCTCATCTCCTACACCCTTTGTGCTCGCTCTCTCAGCTCTAGCTCATGTCCTCTTTACTTTTCTTCAAACCTCCAGGCATATTGAAATCAAGGTTCAACTTCCTGACATGACGAAATCCAAACTTGTGAAGACAGATGTTGGTTAAAAAGGAAAGAGATTTATTCAAGTACTTGCATCTCAAGAAGATGAGGACCTCTTGTCCAAAGCCCATCTCAACATCTCATTGTAGGCAAAGGTTTTTATAAGGAGGGAGAGGCAAAGCAGAACAAAGAAATAAACAAAAAGCTCTCTATGTAAAGGCCATCACAGTCCATTCTGATAAGTACCTCAAAACCTTTCAAGTGATGGTCTGGTGTGCATCATCCTGGTCTTTGTCATTTTGGTTCTATGGTTAAAGGTCAGCAAATCTCCTGGAACTAGGATGACTAAAGGTCAGGGTCTATAGATTCTGAAGTAAGTTCCCAGGATTTTTATACAAACATGCTGTTTCTCTATAAGCTACATATTTGACAGAGTCAGCATTTACAGAAACAATGTCAAAAGAATGGTGGGGTGGGTTACAATTTCCCACTTTTACAATATTTCCAGCTGAGGACCTTTAACAAGCTGTTTCTTCTGCCTTAAATGCCCTTTCCCAAGATATCAACAGGACTCAGTACCTTGCCACTTCCAATCTTTACTCAAACATTTGCTTTTTTTCACAACAACTTTCTGGCCATTCTATAAAAAACACAAACCACTTACTCAGACCAGTTTATTTCTTCTACCTGTATTAGTTTTCTTTTGAACACTTATAGTGTTTGAAATATATATCTCAAGCCTGGCTGGAATGGCTCAGTGGTTGAGCATCAACCTATGAACCAGGAGGTCATGGTTCAATTCCCAGAGTAAGAGCACATGCCCAATTTGCAGGCTCAATCCCCAGTGTGGGGCATGCAGGAAGCAGGTAATTGATGATTCTCTCTCATCATTGATGTTTCTATCTCTCTCTCCCTCTATATATATATAGTCATTTATCTTGTTAATTTCCTCTTTGTTCCCATACCGGATGCTGTGGATCACTACTTAGATCTCCTCTTTGATGATCCAGGTACAAGTTTCCCCAGCTGTTGGGAATATTTTGGGTGCTGGGTCACAACAGTCCTTTTCCTGACATTGCCCTCGTCTAAAGAAAGCTGCCACACCCAAGGTTACAACTTACTCAGATTACAGCTCATATCTCAGGACTAGTCCAGTTGATGGGTTCAAGAATCAGGGATGAGGAAGCTCCCTTGCCTCAATGGGTATGCTATCTCTGAAAAGCTATTCCAGGCCCATGTTTCTTGTGGAATCAACTAAATTTTCTATGGCCATTGTGTTGCATTTCAACTTCTTCCTCTACCTAATCCTGTTTTCCTCTCTTCATTATTGCTTTTGTTACTGAGCTCGAAGCCCATTATCTGTGTGCAAACCTCTGTATCAGAGTCTGATTCTAGGGATTTTTGTTTTGTTTGCTGTTCTATCCCATCTTAGAATATGGCCTAGGGCAGTGATGGAGAACCGTTTGAGCTCAGCTTGTCAGCATTTTGAAAAATCCTAACTTAACTCTGGTGCCGTGTCACATATAGAAATTTTTTGATATTTGCAACCATAGTAAAACAAAGACTTATATTTTTGATATTTATTTTATATATTTAAATGCCATTTAACAAAGAAAAATCAACCAAAAAAATGAGTTCGCATGTCATAGGTTCGCCATCACTGGCCTAGGATAACGTAGGCACTCAAAACAAATATCTATTAAATAAATAAATCATCATCAATTTCCATGATGATCTATTGCTTTAAGTTTTTAAATTCCCTAAAAAAAACAATAATATCCTTCTATGAAGGATACAGAGTTTTCGCTTTGTTTTTAATCCTGTTGCACAGGAACTAGCACATTGTACATGTCTCATAAGTATTTATTCAATAAATGAATGAATCAACATTTTGCTAAAACCTTTTAGCATTTGCCTCTTTATTCATAATCACTTTGGACATAGTCATAATATAAAGTTTTTAAATTTTAATTTCCTAGGAGAAACACAGGCAGAAATGGCAGAGCTGGAATCAGAAATTAAATATTCTTTAGCTAACTCATATTTGTAATTTTACTTAATGTTTCTAAATTCTTTTGAATACCAACCGGAAACAATGGCCTGGCTGAATCCATCTTCATCGTCTTCACTGAAGGCTGGAACTTGATTAATTTGAGCATCCTGCATACATTTGTCTTCAAACAAACTCTTCCAAATTTCAATGCACTCTACTTTTGAAGGGTCATTACATTGACAAGTCCATAAGATTGTTTCTTTCAGGCTTTCTGTTAATGCTGCACACAGGTGGCTTCCATCAAGGGTCTTACATTGTTCTGATTCCCTCCCACAGATTTTCTTAAAATTCTCATACAAAAAAGTGCAATGCTCAGATTCCTGGCAGATTTTTGCTGCTATGGCACAGTCACTCATTTTTTCAACCATTAACAATGTATCTTTCTGATGGAACCATTTTGTGATATTTAATTGTGATGCCAAATCTGAGGATAGTGCTGATTCTTCTATGAATAAAGTAAAATTGAAAAAAAATTAATTAGCCTATGACATTTTAATGTTTTCTAACAGGAATATAGACATATCCTTAATAAATATTTCATTATCTACAGTCTTTGAAAAATAATTAAAGTTATTTCCAGAGTGCTATGACAAATAATCTTGAACTGTTAAAAATTGAGATATGAAACACTAGTTTGTGTAACCAAATAATGGGCATTTTAAAAATATTTGTCCTCCTCATATACTTTTGTCTTTTCATTATATTTTGATAATAATTGGTACCTATACTAAAGTGTTTCTCAAACTTTTTCATTATTTCCCCCTTAAGCCTTTTTAGAGAGTTTTTAAAAATAATTCCTCTACTTTCTCTTGAAAATTTAATTCCATAGATATACTACATATCTGTTTAGGGGGGAAAATATATATATATTAGAGGCTCAGTGCACAAAATTCTTGCACTGGTGGAGGGGGCTCCCTCAGCCCAGCCTGCACCCTCTTGCAGTCCAGGACCCCTTGGGGGATGTCCACCTGCAAGCTGACATCCCTCTTGCAGTCTGGAACCCCTCACTCCTAACTGCTCGCCTGCTTGCTCCTAACAGCCCACCTGCTCACTCCTCACCATCTGCCTTGCTGCTCCTTACCGCCCACCTGCTCACTCCTTACCGCTTGGCTCGCCACTCCTTAGCACTGCGGGAGAAGGTCCCACCACCACTGCTGCACTTGCCAGCCGTGAGCCCGGCTTCTGGCTGAGCGGTGCTCCTGCTGTGGGAGTGCACTGACCACCAGGGGGCAGCTCCTGCATTGAGTGTCTGCTCCCTGGTGGTCAGTGCACATCATAGTGACCAGTTGTTCTGGTTTTTCTGCCATAATGGTCATTGGGCTTTTATATATATAGATATACTTTAGGCATAATAAATTTTAATGGGCAAAATTTTGAAGATATACTTACAAATCATATATAGAGAGGCATATAAGCACTTGAAAATATGCTCAATGTCATTATTTTTTAAGTGCAAATCAAATCCATAGTGTGGGACCACTAAATATGTATTGAGATGGGAAAATATGAAATGATCTGAGAATGTGGAGCAACTAGAACTTTATATATTGATGGTTAAACCAAATTTGAAATGTTGTTTGGAAACTTTTTATAAAAGTTAAACATAAACTTTATCATATGACCCAATAATTTCTTACCCAAGAGAAATAAAAACTTACATTTGTACAAATCTTATCTGTGAATATGTATAGCAGCTTTATTTATATCCCTAAAAATGCAAGTGACTCTTAATGGTGAACAAATCTGTGGTCTAACATAGACTGGAATACTACTCCTCAAAAAAGGGAACAAACTTATACATGAAACAATGATGAATCTCAAATGCATCATGTTAAGTAGAAGAAATCGGGCTGAAAAGGTTGCATGTTATATAATTCCCTTCATATGAAATTCTGGAAAAAGCAAATTATAGATAAAAGTGTTGAGTGAGGTCACCGTGCATGATTGGAGGAGTTGGACAGTGGGACCATTCAAGATAGAGGAGAGGAAAGCCTATTGTTTGTAGGGTGGGAGAAGGTTGCTTGTGAAAGAAGGGGTGAGGACTTTAGTGTAATTACAGAAATATGTTATGCAGATATTGAGATGTACAACTCATAGACTCTTAAGTTGCTTGAAGACAATTATTTAAAAGTTCATAAAATGTATTATATGCAATTAATTTTAAAATTGTACTTTTCTTTTTCATGACTTTAAATATTCCATATAACAATATATTACCTGATTCATTGATGCATTTTTTTCCAAGCAGTTTGTTAACAGTGCAATAGAAGTCATCAGTACAGAGACAATCTTTAAATTGTAAACTGGTTTCCACTAAGGATTGGATGCCCAGGTTACAGTTCAATGAATTCTTCATCCTGCAGGGATCACCTGGATTTCACAAACATATAGCACTCCAGATATTATTTTGAATATAATTTTATCCAAAGTGCTTTTAACATTAATCTGAATAATTTATTATTATTGTTATTATTATTTTATACTAGGAGCCCAGTGCACGATTCGAAATTGCACAGAGCCGCCCACCCTCTGGTCCAGCCCTGCCTCCCTCTCCAGCCCTTGAAGCAGCTGTGGCCGCTGCTAATCAGGCCCTCCCCCAGCACAAGTGAGCAGAGGCCCCTGCTGCCCCACCCCCGATGCTGCCCGTGCAACCTCCTCCTACCCACTCGACCCATTACAGCATCCTGGTTAATTAGCATATTCTCTATTATATATGTAGATAGTTCTCACCCATGGATATGTTTTATTGATTTTAGAGAGGAAGGGAAAGAGAGAGAGACATTGACAAGTTGCTTTCCATATATACCTTGACGGAGGATCAAACCCATAACCCAGGTATGTGCTCTAACCAGGAATCCAACCTGAAATCCTTTGGTGCATGGAATAATGCTCCAACAAACTGAGCCACCTGTCCAGGGCTGAATAATTCATTATTATATTAAGATTTTCTGAGTTTGCTACATAATGTTCATAAGTTACTTTTTAAGCAAAAAATATGTATGTGTGTGTGTGTGTGTGTGTGTATATATATATACACACACACACATATATATATTACTGTTTTTTTAAATTAAAATTTTCCACATTTTTAAATAGCTTAAAATTTTCCACATTTTTAAATAGCTTTTCTCCACTTAGAATGCCAATTTTTGCTCCAATAATAATCACAACTGCCCTTGTATGAGGTGACCAGAATGCTCTTTTATCAGTTTAGCTATTTCAGGAGTTAGTTAGTATTAATCTGCAATTTTATTTTACATCATTCTAAGATTATAACAAGAGATGTGTAGGTGGCTCTAAAGTTATCATGGGAAATGAAGTGGTCCTGACACTTAGAAAGCACTCAATAAATATCATTAAATAATGAGTCCTTCATAATGACCAGTAATTCATTTTCTGCTTTAATTTAAAAAGCCATATTCATATACCCAACCATTTTCTCTTTTTTTCATCTTTCTGAATAAAACTACTTGATATCATTTCATTTGTGGATTTGAGAATATTTCTATTTCAGCTTCATGCATGGGATAATTATGCAAACATTGCAATTTGCTGCTATTTGTACACTGAAATAAGTACCACACTGAATGTGATATTTTAAATTGCCATATAAAATGTAACAAGGAGCTTCATCATCGAAACAAATAACAGATGGTTTTTTGTCATCATCCTATATTCTCACTTAAAAATATTGTGTCACTTTGAGCAAATTATGCCTTTGAAAATCTTTTCCTAAATAGTAATAAGAATGTTTGGATTAGAGAGCTATATCTTTCTTTGGAGTATAAATAGCCCATGACCTCCCTTCAAGTGCAGGGAAGAGAAGGAAATCTCTCTCCCTTCCACTGCATGCCATGTAATTCCTGCAGCTCTGCTGGTGGGGATGGAACACTTTGACATTGTCGGAACTACAGGTCGCAGCCTCTTAACCCAACACACTCCACCTGACATCTTTTGGGAGGTAGAAGAAGTAGATGCCAATAGGCAGGAGTTATGAGCTTTACAGAATTTACTCTTTCTGAGATAGATGGAGAAATAAAGTGAGTCAGGGAGGACATATTTTTATTTTCCCTTTCAGATTTCTTTTATTGAATATTCCAGAAAGCTGAACAGGTTTTATTGTATTACATATTCGCTATACAGGATGATACAATTATCATGATGTTAGAATATGATATTTTGAAAAGTTTTGTCATAATACTATTAGGGCAATGTCCTACTATATAACCAGATTATCTAAAAATTGAGTCTTCCTATAATGCTCTCACTCAATATTTATTCAGTACTTGATATATTTAAAACGTGGTTTTTTGTTTTTGTTTTAAATAGGTAACAGTGATCCTCTAATCTTTACATGCTCTACCCTTTGGGCCTGTCCTCAGATATTTGGAATGTAGAACAAGTTATAAATAATAAATTTTAGCACGCTCTTGATACAGTTGGAATGCAAAATAGTGTATATGTTGTGAGAATATAGAATGCATGTTATACACCTACAAATAAATAATAATGCCTTTGATTATTACCAATATTATTATTTCCCTATTTTGTCATTGATATATTAACATATAAAGCAGAAGAAATTTGATTTGAAAATTAGTTGTTATGCTTCTGAGAAGCATACATATAATTGTGACATTATACATAATGAGATAAGTAAAAAAAAAAAGATAGGCTGAAATACTGCATAATGCTGCCCATGATGTCAATACATTTAGAACCCTTGAGTAATTTAAGAATATCATTTTATAGTTATAATTCACTAATAAGCAATTGCAGGTGAATCACTTGAATACCACATTTGAGTAAAGTATTTAGAGCAAGACTAACTTAGTTCATCAGATAGTGAAAGAAAATATCAAATCCTAGTCTTATCTCAATACAAGAGAATCATTTGAATGTATTTCAAACAATTTGTTTTACCTGAAACACTGCAGGCATCTTCCATTATTCTCCAGGCATGTTTACATCCATTCACATCACTTAGGCATTGGTCTCTCAAATATGTGCAGTCAGTGGTTTGGGAAGTGGATTCATTTTCTGAGCACAGCCCCATGGCTTGAATAACAACAATCACAGGACAAAACAAAACAAGTTTGAGATATTACAGTATGACAGTTATTTACCTCAAATCTACGTCATTAATGATAAAGAGCATAATTGTGGAAAATAAAATGTGATGAGATCATTCAAGATTGGAATGGATCTT